GCGAGAGATGCAACCGTTCTATCTGACAAGAGTAGATTAGGGGTAAAATTCATATTGGCACACACACACACACACACACACACACACACACACTGACAGTTGACTATTCAGTACCATTGTCAGCAAAAGTTTTAATCCAAAAGAAACATTATACTCTCTGGATCTAATGTCGTCAAAAAGAGACAAAATTATTTCCAAATTTTCTAACTGCTTCACCCTGACCGATTTACAGTGGTTATTTAATTATTCAATTGAGAAAGATTCTAAGCATTTACCTGTGGGCAAGGTTTCTTTGCCAAGCAGTAGTATACAAACTCTTCGGGGCCGATCATACTCATTCGTTCCTGAAATGATGTATAGCTTTAACAAAACATAAACAATGAGTTTGCTTGTGTAAATGTAAACAAAAGGAGTTGACTCTTGTAGAATCGATGCATTCACAGGAGCTGAAAAAAGTTTACTTTCTTGCTACAGTATGGAATACGAAAACAACCATTTTTCGGCCATGTATGTCCAGAGTACAAAGACGTCATCGAAGCTGTCAATACGGCCGAACGTGGTGCCAGAATTTTCCTATGATTTAGAAAAGTCCAAAGAAGGAACGCTTCTAGAGTATCAATGTGACTGATTATCCCCAAATTCCATAACAAAATAACTATGGCGTCGATCGAGTGGGAATCATTAATTTCCCGTATATTTTATCTATCTTTAATGAAAATTGTGACTGCAAGATAAGGCGCTTCTACGCATATGAAAGACAGGAATTCGCATAACAACAGAAAATCAGCAGAATGTTATAACAGAGGCAACTACTTTAAACCTTTTCAAAAGGGCCTTGAAACCAATGAATGAATCACAGACCGGTTTGGAGCTCAACATTTGAACTGTAAAAATATAAGAGCAACAGCCGCAGTACTCTGGCCAGTTGCCTGTACTAACATTAATATGAAACTTTGTGACCGTGACAGAAAGAAAGACCAAATTAGCACTCAAGGACACAACTGAATTATAGGTCAATGGAATTTACTTGACTTACTGGATGCCGCAAGTGGGCTACGGCATCCCCACGCTTCTCGTCACGAATCGCCATTGTATTCTGTCCTGGGTAATATCAGGCATGATTGCAAGCCAATCACTGTGCCATGTTTGGCTCGCAGTCTGCCCATCTGCATATACGACAGTTCGTCTCTGATGCTATCCAGCCATGAAGGTGTCGGCATGCCTCTAGGTCTTTTCTAGGATGGGTTCAGCACACCACGAATCAACATGCTGGTCAGCCGCTTGTCATCCCATCGCAGCGCGTGGCCGAGAATCGACTGTTTTAGTTAAATTATAGTTCTCATATTCGCTAGAGGGAGAACTGATATTATTCCCTGTCTGGCGAACTCCATCTGTACTCGTTCTGACGTCCTCCAGCAATTGTACATTGATGACCTTATCGATCAGTCTGTGGCCGAGTATTCGGCACCCACACGAGCGTTCAAATATGTCCAGTCTATTCACTTTTTTCCTAGTAAGGGTCCACGTTACTGCTGTATACCTCAATACCGGTCGAATTTCTGTCAAATATACGCGAACTTTCACTGAAGTACTGATAGCAGTTTTGCACACATTTGCTGTATCATGTTATATGCATTCGAGCGATGTTGATTCTTTCCTGGATATCAGCATCACAGCTTCGATCACAAGCGATCATCGATCCAAGACGGCAGAACTTGGGGATGCACTGCACAACTTCCCTATAAATTTTTATGGTGCTGATAGTTTCTGGGGCATGCAGTGAACAAGAACTTTGCATTTCGGTGGTTTCAGTCTCAGCCTGTAGTTGGTGCTGGCTTTTACCGTTTCTGAAGTTCTTCCGGGTTCATTAAAATACCCAGGACATCTTCAGCATAATCCACATCTTGTAACCGGCATACTGACGGTTGGAATATCACTACCTTATCAAAGTTTGTAACTGCCTCTGTATTCACGGCATCAGTGAAATAGTTGGGTAACATAGGTTCGGTGACCGACCCTTGCCGTACTTTGCTATCAATTGAAAAGCTGTCTGAGACCACTGAACGTGCTCCTACCAACGCTATTGGTATACTTTATTAATATAATGTGAAATATACGGCAACCATAGGATATATCTAATCCCAATTTAATCAGATAGGTAGCTGATCTATCTTTTGACTTCCGCTTGCTTACCGTTGTGCTAATAAACAATATTTTTTCGGTGCTTAGTGTGTGACAACAAA